TTGAGAATTTCACTGGAGAAATTTTTTATTTATGTTTTAGAAATAGTGTGTTGTTTACAAACGGACTGTTCTAGACGTTTCAGCATGTTTCAGACTATACTTATGACGCACTTTGGTTTTAAAGAAAATTTGTTTCATTAAAAGCCTCCTGCAGCAAAGGGGACCGTTGGCTGGTTTTACCTATAAGCGAAAGCAGGTGCGCATTCTACTGACAAACCAAAACGTCAGAAAAAAACCTGTCTTTTAACACATTGCATTCTAGATATTAAATACTTACTTAACAACTATTTCTATACTTTTCCTCATAATACAAAAAATGTAGTAAAATCTGACTAATGCAGACGAAAAGTTATAGGGGTCTTCTGATGTCGGGGATCCTTTAATATACCCATGGCTTTACATTTCGATCTTTAATTTTATATTTGTATTGAATATTATCAATATTGTTCAGTCTACTTACCATTGAGAAATTATCATTGAGAAATGAAAAAAACTAATTTCATCGTTCATTCTTTGTTCTTTTCATATATAAAGTATGTTAAAGTCAAGATTTATTTACTTTATCTTATTAGAATCTATTTGTTAATCTTCTTCCTACTTTTACTACAATAGTATGAGGTAGAAATATAATCCAAATTAACAGTGCGTCATTATAAATTATTAAAATATATCTGATATTGAAACATTTTTTACACCATTCTTTTAAAATACTAGATTTCTATTTGTTTGTGTCGAAATCTAAGAAAAGATTATGAAAACTACGAACATTCAAAAGTGAATTTCATGTAAATATTCGTTTAACTATTAAGCTTCTCTGTAGTATATCATTTCGAAAAGCCATCAATCTTTTTCACGGTCTTGTAAATATTAGTATATTTTTGCAGATATTTTAAGAGAAAAAAGATAAGCATATCGTTTAGGAAGATAAAAGTGTAAGTTAAATCTAGCACACCCACGTAAATCAAATGAGTGTAGACGATTGCGAACGATGATTATTAGTAGTGATAAAATCGTCTTTTTTCCTTTTTTTTCATGACTTTGAATTATATTCTATCAATTAAATTACATAACATAATAAACGTTACAATGAAATTCTTAATTTCGTTAAATAAAATCGAATATAAATGATTTATATGGATATATTTTGATTCCATTGTCGTTCAATAAAAACAAACGATGATTATCAAAAATTTCCAAATTAATAGAAAAATAGTGATGAAATAAAAATTCTTGAGGTACTATGACGTCAACAAGATTCATTCTTTCCATTAATTAAAATACGAATTTGACATTTTTTTTCTCCTGTGTATTACTATTTAATCTAATTCTATTCATGACTACTTTAAAAAACATTTTTTCTTTCTGTAAAATATAAATATAAACAACAATTTTTGTATTCTATTCTTTTACATATCGATTTTCTTTGATTACAAATGACTTGTAATAATTCAGTTAATATATATCTACTTGGTTTAGCATCAAGTATGAAAACAGATATTCGTACAAGTGATATTAATCAACAAGATTTAATGACATTTGCTTATGCATTTTCTGTTACAATAATGTTTACATTGAGTATTATATCAAATCTAATATCAATTGATACATTTCGACAAGTAACAATAAGAACAACTACAGTTGGAATATATTTATTAATTTATAGTTGTGCATTATTATTTGGTATTATAATGCTTGAATGTCGTTTATTTCAATTAATAGATTCTCTTAGTCATATATCAATGTTTTTATTTGTAATTTAATATCTGGTTTAGCATCAGTATTTACTCGTATATGTTTATGGTTAAATGGTTTAATTGCTTTTCATCGATCACTTCATTATCAGATCCTGTTGCACCAGAAAAATTTGTATGTCAAATTAAATATTCATCAGATTTATTAATATTAAATCGAATATTTACTTTTATTCATTTATTTATTCCATTTTCTTTACATATTATATCAACATGTTTAATAATAGCATCAGTTACAGAGGTGCAGAATCTTCCTCATGCGCCCCCGCGCGGGGGAGGAAATTTTTTGAAAAGTTGTTATATTGGGGGAAATTTTTGAAAATTATTATATTGGGGAAACTTTTGGAAATTGTCACACTGAAAGAAATTTTGAATATTACCATTGGGGAAATTTTAGAAAAAGTATTAGAAGAGGAAATCTTTTTCTTCTCACAGTTAATCATACGATATAAATCATTCTTTTAACTCTGTTGTTTTACTTGTTTAATCTATTCTTCATCTTGCTAAAAACATACACTTTTGATCCTTTGATTCTATTTCCCCTTCTCATATGTACATCAATCTAAATATGTACGCACAAATACATAACTTCGTTATTCTAATTGTTACTCGTTTCTCTTTCTGTTTTTGCGTCTCTAATTTTCTTCTCTTCTGCATCGTTAGATTCATTGAATAAAACCAGATTCCAGTTTACGCACAAAAAAGTGATAAGGAAGAGAAAAGAATCACATTTTTTAATGTTTTTTCGCACATGACGGACAGTTTACACCCCTATTTCGAGTTACTTTCACTCTTATGTTTATTCTTCCAACGGTTGCTGCTTTTGAGGTTGATTGAGATGTTTACTAGTACACAAACCGTTAGTTGTTTATTCTGTGAATGGACGGGTCAAAAAGATAAATTGGCTCTCATTGCAATACATATCACTCCGGTTTTAAATTTCGACGCGAAGGTGCTTTAAATGCTCTATCTACTTTCTGGAAACAACAATCAGTACTACTTGAGACATATCAGATCGAGAAGCGAACGAGGAATCACCTACTTTCGATCAAACACAGGTGACAACAACTTCTTTACTTACCTCGCCTGTAACAATGACTTCTTTCAATTAAAGAGTAAAAACTGGATTTTCTTAACAAAAAAAAAACAGATTATTACCGTCTATTCAAATTAGTTTCACCTGGTTCGGTTGTTTTGAACCGCTTGAGAAAACAACAAGTAGAAAAAAATTCCTATGTAGTACGAATAATAACGAACAGGGCAAAAACGTTGCCACGCTTTTTATTCCTCCTTTTTGTGAAATAAAGGTAGTTGGTGAGCGATGAATATAAAACAGCTTGGGGAAATTTTCAGAAAAAATTTTTACGGGGGAAGGGATTTTTTATTTTATGGAAGATTCTGCACCTCTGATCAATTAGTCATCGAAGAGCTATTCTTCATCAAACAACCTATTATAAACAATGAATAAAACAATTTCAAACACATTATCATCTTTTTCTCGCACCATTAATTGCAATGGTAAGTTTTTATTTATTTTTATTCATACACCTATATTTTTCTTTCTTTCTTTTCTATCAGTTATGTACATTACCTCAATTGACTTTATCATTGAAATTTTCCTGTGTTGATATTTCTTCAAAATGGCTTTTACGATTAAATACATCAACTAATTTAATTCTTTATATACCTCAATCGATTACATTTTTACTTTTTATTTATCGTTCAAAAGTTTATTTCAATATTTTTAAAACACAATCAATATTTAGCAAACATTTTTGCTATAGACATTATATCAACAAGTAACGCGGCCTAGTAGCCGCTAAACTCTCTACTGAAACGATAGTATTAGAGCGCTACTATTCTTCCAAAGAGAGAAAAAAGTTATTCCAGTTGAACGATCTGATCATTTGATAATTTGTTAGAATGTTTTACCTAGACCAATTTCACTTCCTGAAATCTTCTGAAATTATAACGCCTAGTCTTTTGTCGGCCTCTCTCCGGTCGACCACTCGCCGCTAGCCGTTGGTACCTAATAAGTGTTTAATGATATTTTCATATTAAAAAGTACCTCGTTCTTGTTGAGTTCGTCTCTAGCAAAGCAGCCGAAATTCTTCACAACTTCGTGACCTACAGTATATCTTTTATTATCATTTTTAGTTGAATAAGTCGATGATCTACATAGTTTTCTCTCGAAGCTCGAAAAGACGTTATATATATATATACAGTGGCTCCAAAAATTATTCATACAGCAGCCATCTTTAAATTGCATTGAATACTGTGCAAGAAAGGATAGTGATAGAGATGCGCGGTTTTCACTATTATGTTCACTAGAGCACGTAGTTTATTTCAACAAAATATGAGATGTACATCTTTCTTATAGGATCATCCAGAAAAGACATTCTAAAATATACATGATTTTTCACTTACAAAAATTATTCATACAGAACAGAACAAGAGAAACAACAGGAAACGTGAAATGTAAGTGGTTGAGTTTAATATCGCGTAGGATAGCCCTGCATATGTATACACTCATACAAACGATTTGGTACAGAATCAACAACTTTCTCAGTTATGTCAGTACCAATACCATTTCACTCCTGTAGAAGCGCCTGTTTGAGTTCTTCTTTGTTACTTGGATGATGTTTTTTCATTCTTCGCTCTAATTCGTCCCACATATGTTCTATGGGGTTCATATCCGGTGACGAAGCAGGCCATTTCAATACTTCAATCTTTTTTCCTTTCAACCAATCCTTCACAATCTTGGCTGTATGCTTTGGATCATTGTCATGTTGGAACACTAGTGACCTTGTTAAACCAAGTTTCATTGCAGATTGTAATAAGTTCTTTTGTAGAATTTCACGATAACAAAATCTATCCATGATATTATCAATAAAACACAGGTTTCCAACACCGCTACGCGAAAAACATCCCCAAACCATCACACTCCCTTCACTGTGCTTCACTGTGAGTACCGTACATCTAGGATTGTATTCCTCTGACGTCGATCGCCACACCATAACCTTGCCATCAGACCCAAATAAGTTAAATTTAGACTCATCTGACCAAAGAACACATTTCCAATAGTCAGAAGGCTTTTGAATCATCATATTGGCATAGGCTATTCTTTTCCCTCGATTCACTCTATTCACGTAGGGTTTCTTTCGAGCAACCCGACCATAAAGGCCGATTTCATGCAGTCGATTTCGTACAGTATTTGCGTGAACAACGACGCCCAGTTCTTTTTCGATTTCAATTTTGACCGCCGTTGCAGATTTTCGACGGTCGACCTTTATTTTCCGTCGGATGATTCGATCGACGGCAGCTGTCGTTTTCCGTTTGCGACCACGCCCAGAGATTCAAAACACATTTTGACTTTTTATATTTCTGCACGATAGATTGGATAGTTGGACGTGGAATTAACACCTTGTCGACTATATCAGGGTATGAATCACCATTGAGATAATGTTGAATTACTTGAGATCGAACATCAGTCGAGTGTTCCTTTATCTTGGGCTCCATTTGGAAACAGAAAAATCGGAATGGTATACGATGGTTTTCTTTTGGAAGTAAAAGTAATACTGTACAACGTATTGAGTCAAGTATTGACCTATCAATTCATTATCATGAGTGGCCATCAGATGTCGCTACTGTATGAATAATTTTTGTAAGTGAAAAATCATGTATATTTTAGAATGTCTTTTCTGGATGATCCTATAAGAAAGATGTACATCTCATATTTTGTTGAAATAAACTACGTGCTCTAGTGAACACAATAGTGAAAACCGCGCATCTCTATCACTATCCTTTCTTGCACAGTATTCAATGCAATTTAAAGATGGCTGCTGTATNAGATGTACATCTTTCTTATAAGAAAGATGTACATCTCATATTTTGTTGAAATAAACTACGTGCTCTAGTGAACACAATAGTGAAAACCGCGCATCTCTATCACTATCCTTTCTTGCACAGTATTCAATGCAATTTAAAGATGGCTGCTGTATGAATAATTTTTGGAGCCACTGTATATACCTTAGAAAAATTATGGACACTATGCGACAGTCTTATAAATCTCCCTTTTCAACTAATTTTCAAAAGAAACATCTAGTCGTTCGTCGGCCTCCCTTCGGTCGGCCACTCACGGCTAGCTGTTCCCATGCCTACTCATTTTACTATCTTAACTTCATTCGGACCAAGACGCGTTCCGAAAATGAGGACATTTCAGAAAATCAATTAATAATCAAAAACTTAGAAGCTTTACATAGCTATATGATTCTCTGGAAAATGTTTCCATCTTCATTTCACCACGAGGAACCTTAAATAGCTGCTAGCTATATTCGTGCAGAGCAACGATTAATTTCTGACCAAGAAATCTTAAAGCTCTATAAAAGTCACAAAATTTGTTCTTAAAAATATTATTCTGGAAATCGACTAGTCGCTCGTCGGCCTCCCTCCCGTCGGCTACTCACCGCTAGCCGTTGCATGTACATTTTCACTCTTCCACTTACGAGGGAACATATTTAGATGATCAAGCACTTTAGATCTCTTCTTTTGGTGGTAAGTAGACCTCGATGAGGTATGAAAAATCTCAAAAAGATTCGTCCCCTCGTCTCTTTGTTCCAGAGTTATGGTTGTTCTACTCTAATTTCAGCTTATTGCAAGGTATTTCGATAAAACTCTGACGACGCATTTTCAGCCTAAATTTTTGCTCATAAAAAGGTCTCATTCGCACTAGATTGTTCTACAAACACCAGCTTGAAGGAATGTTTCCTTCACGAGATAAATGAGTTTTAAAAATCCAGTATTACATCAACCATTCGAAAAAACTGATCTGTCTTAAAAATTCATTATCTCGTGAAGGAAACATTCCTTCAAGCTGGTGTTTGTAGAACAATCTAGTGTGAATGAGACCCTTTTATAAGCAAAAATTTAGGTTGAAAATGCGTCGTCAGAGTTTTATCGAAATACCTTGCAATAAGCTGAAAATAGAGTAGAACAACCATAACTCTGGAACAAAGAGACGAGGGGACGAATCCTTTTGAGATTTTTCACACCTCATCGAGGTCTACTTACCTCCAAAAGAAGAGATCTAAACTGCTTGATCACCTAAATATGTCCCCTCGTTAGCCATCTGCACTGTTAGAACCATCATAGTTGTCAGTTATTCGCTTGTTAAAAAAAACGACACCTTCGATTGCTGGAAATTTCAGTTTGATTCAAGATACTTTTGTATAAAGTGGGAAAATTCCAGTGCACTACCCATATATCGAATAAAGCAATAAAGCATCATGCACAGAGTCTTTCATTTTCTTCTAGATATCCAGTTCTCAGGTCAACAAATCCGATGCTGGATCCGTCGAATTCCTGTAGGATCTGACAAATTCCAAGGACTTTATTTAATTCAAATTGAACGATATTTGCAGACAGAATTGAATGAATTACGCATCAAACGAAATCTAGAAACAAATTCACATGGTAGTATGATGATTTGTTGTAATTCATCTCTCCTATAGTTACATTTTTTTTCATATGAAAATTCTTCTTCTATCTTCAAACGCGAAGAGAGAGATGGAGAAGAGAAGAAAAAGAAATCAATCAAAATATAATGCGCATGCTGTGATGAGCGGAAGAATGAAAGAAAGAGAAGAAACATTTGTTATATAAACAATTAATGAGAGTGAGAGGAAGGAAAAGAATAACATACGGTCATTATATAAGAAGACATAATGAGATATACTTAACATGGTATCCAGCTGTCCTAAAGCATTGTTGCCACAGCAAATATATCACGTAGATAAGTGACACGGAATGAACGGAGCTATTCTAATATAATTCTTCTCTTATTGATGGAAACGTGAAGGAATATGATCATGAAAATCAAATCAACAAAAGCTATCTTGTCTTTTTTCACACATAGATGCAATGGATTATGATGAACGCAATGATAATGTGCCTAACGATGAAAATGATAATGAAGAAAATTTTCAAATTCAATCTGTCGAAAATGAAAATGGAAATGGAAACGATTTCGTGCTGGTTAACGGAAGGATTGAATATCAGTATCAATCAGGAACTCTCGATAATGTGTGCTTATACGATTTTGTTAGCGCATTTTATGAAAAAAGATCAACGCATATGATTTAAAATATATAGCTGATAGCTCTATAGGAAGAGAAGAGCAGGATAATCGCAGAGGTCGACCTCCTAGTCAACGATTTCCTTTTCAAAAACAACATCCTCAAGCAACAACCTACCTAATGATGGAACATATTGAACATCGTGTACCAATCCTCTATGGTCCTCAAATACCTCGGTGGGATCGTGAAGACACCCAAGAACGATATTGTCGAGCTATTCTTACACTTTTTGTGCTTTGGCGAACTGTATCCG